GAGAGAGAGAGAGAGAGACAGAGAGAGAGGTGCTCCCTCCGTGTCTCTCTTGTGTCTCTTCACCATCGGCACTCTCAATCGCTTTCTGTAATTATTCGCGCGTCTATGATCTTGTCTGTGCTCCGCGAAGTGTGAACAGAGCAACAGGGGGACCTCGACCGATCGAATGTGGCACGCGGTGCAGAGGTGATACTAAAAGAGAAAGAGCGCGAGAGCGAAAAAGAGAGGACTTCTCGCTCATATTTCTCTTACGTTTTATCATAATCTTCTCTTATTGCAGTTTTTTATATTAGCATTTATATTAGCCTCTTATATTATTATAGGTTTATCTGATAGTTATTATTTTTTTTTCATCCCGTTATATATTTATTTAGCTTATCTTTATATCTCTTGTATCTCTTGCGTATATTAAAGAAAAATTTAGCTGAGATATTTCTTCTTGCACATTACGATATTATTACCGCGCATTTAAATCTTTATATCTTTACTTTCAAATATATATATATATCTTGTGAGTCAATATATAGTCTCTCCCAGATAAATACGCCACACCGCATTAATCTCGATGCTTCCTCGATCGAGGATGAGTGGGTGTGTCAACGCGAGTGTCGCTTCCGGTCGTCGTCGGAGCGAAAAATGAATCATCTCGCGTATGCAACGAGCTCGTGGAAATGCGTTCTCTGTACACAGTTTATAACTAGCATAACAACACATTGTACAACTCGATTATTCATGGAATTCACTCGCTCAGAGAGATAATAATGCGGATCGTGCGCGCAAAAATAGAAACAAGAAAAAAAATAAGAGGGAAAAGAGAGGCGGCCCGGAGTACTTCATTAACTGCGGAACAAACATTTCTGCGTACTCTTTCCTCGCTCGCCTCGCTCAATGTCGTATACCTGCAGCCTTGTTGGTCGCGGCGGATTATCTTCGTCCTTATTGCGACTCGTGCTTACACGTCACCTCATATACACCGCTGGCAAACACACAATGGTAACGCGAGCGTGAAAAATTTCCGCATAATAAACGTTTACCATTCACTGTCGCCTTCCTAATAAAGTGCATAGGTGCGTCATACATATGCATATATGCATATGCTTCTTACTCTTAAGAAATTTTTATTAAATCGTTTATTTCCGCTTCCAGTTTGAAGACCCGGCTTCGGCTTGTCATGCCAAAGTGACAACTTTACACTCGGAGAAATCAGATATTAACATAATACCGATCGTCCCTCCTAAATTTCATTTATAAATTTTTTCATCGAAATTTCGAACGGTTTTCTATTTCCGCAGTATTCTTGATATCACGTTTAAAACTATTTTCCGAAAATTTTACATCGGAATAAATTTTATCGAGGTAGTTAGCGTTTGCGAATAATTTTTATCATCCCGAATAAGTCTCAGTTGATTTTAACAGGCTTTTGCGCGGCAGGATTAAACGAGCGATTCGCTATATATTCCCCATCGTTTTTCCGCTGGTTTTTTTTACGGGTTACGCGACCATTTGTAACCAGCCCTAATGGTTTACGATGCGATTAACTCGGCTGCGCGCCTCACTATCTACCCCTTACGTGCGCCCGCGAGGCACGCCTAGACCGATCGCGAAATTGGGGCTAACGAAGATAAATATCGGCGTGCGATACATACATATATCGCCGAGTGAGCTACGCCACGACGTGCCGTGTGTATTGTATATACGCGAATTCCCTTTACGTGGAAACGCAAAATGTCGCTGCAAGACAAACGGTCCGCTGTCTCCTGCCTTCGGGCCCGCGGGCGATCGATTTTTAAAAGACGGCCGGCTACCGAAGAGAGAGCAATGCACAGTCGGGTGACGATGCACAATGCAATACGTACCAAGGCACATATACTGGGTGTCTCTCTTGTGGAACGTTACCTTTTTTTAAGATGGATTCTCCTTGGTGGAGTCGTTCCCGTTCGACGAAAATATCGAGGCGCCGATAAAGCTCGAGTTATGAACGATTAGAAAACAGGGAAAAATTTCTTCTCGGAAATTCAATTAAATTTCAAGGATATGTTTTTTTTAATTTAAAAATTTTATGAAATCCAAACTTCAAATTCGGGCGGGCACGCGTTGCTGAAAATTAATAAACCGAGATAAACGCGATGATTTTCCGCGATATTCATAATAAAAATTTAATTTAAATTTTAAAATTTTTATAATCCGAAGGATCCGTTGTTAAAAAATAAAGCGCGGCAGATTGAACACCGTGTATTCAAGCCGAAAGGGATTAAACCCGTTAACCCGTGAATCCTGCGCGTTTTATGTGATGCATGGCATTTTTTATCTACCGTTCTATTTTGCTTATCGGACAACGTCAGCTCCTCTGCCGCTGTCGAATAAGTCCTCTTGCTTATACCATCGACGAAAAGCGACAATAAACGCAAACCCCCTCTTCTTTCATGGGACGATGCGAGTGTCGCGCCTATTCCGCTTTCCTGTTTAAATGTAATTATGTGAGATCATTCGTGACCGAGGTCGTTAGCGAAGACCGAAGACGCGGGAAACCGCGGCAAGAACAACAGGCGAAACTGGAACACCATGATCTAAATCCCGAGTTTATGCGTCTGCATTATTAGCATTAGCATTAGCACCACACGTGCTCTCAGCAACGGAGTGTCCGATCCTCGCGTGTGTTTATGTCGCGGTTACGTAAACGCCCCTCGCGACAGATAAACACGGACGTTCCCAAAGAATTTCTAAAAACGGCGAAAAGTCGCACATAAAGTCGCCAAAGGAACGATGCGGAAAAAGATGTCAATTTACATTTTTCTTTCTTTTTTTTTTTTACTTACACATTTCTTTCCGATATCTTTTCATGACGCCGCGGCGATAAGCCCTCCGGATTCCCGCGTCCATCTCGGAATTGGCGCGAATCTTCTTCGTAATATTGACCGAGGACAGCCGATATTTCTCGTTCCGCGCGACGGACGTCCACCTCATTTTTCGCGGGAGATTCAGGGATGCGTGACGTCGCTCAACGACGACGACGAGTCCTCGGCCTCCGCGCGCCGCGGCGCGGCGGGGCGGCCGTTCTACAATTATTATTTGTCGATAATGTCCCCGAGCGCAAGAATGAAACCGTGTGTGTGCGGGAATACGGCCGGGTTGTACGACGTCGGCACCGGTAATCGGCAGTGATGCCGGCGTGATGTACGAGTCTCCGATACCGCGCGCTGCCGCGATTTATTACGTCGCGTTATCGCGACGTCGGGGAATTGTAAAAGAATCGCCCCCGGGCGCGTAGAATGGAGTGTCCCGAAATAAATCGCGGAGTGATTTTTAGCCGGCTAAACGGGCCGTTACCTCGCGCGCCCGTTTTATTCCGCGAACGCGGAATGGATGGCGTTTAATAAAATTAATCTCGACATTAAAGCACGCATTAAAATTAAAACGCAGTGGAAATAAAATAAAGCGTAGTAAATTTAATTGCAAAGCAGTATAACGAATACGCCGCTGAATAACAAGGAATATTGCGAATATCGTGCCATTTGAAATGCATAAAACGCAGCGAAGGGATCGGTTTCAATTTTTAATTAAGGTTTAAAATTTCTCTCTTCCTCTCTTATCCTCGCCCCTTCCTTCTGACCTCCCACTCCGCCAAGCAGTCGAGGGTAAACAAATGCCGTCGTTTGGTGCTTGCGCGTGGTGCTTTACTTGAAGGAGAGGAAGCAGGAAACGTTTCCCCGATACGTACATTTCGCATTATCTCCGTAGCGACCGGAGGTTACCCAGAAACCAGGCGCAAACCCCAAAGTGTGAGAGAGTGTTCCGTTCCGTCGTGTTGTAGACGCGGTTAAGAGGATGCGAGAGAAATGAGAGCTTCTTACGCGGGAAAATGGAAGAGCTTCTTTTTCGTTCTTTTTTCCTTCTTCTTTTTTTTTAATCTCTTTTCTCTTTTTTATTTTGTGCACGTAATATACTTTCGACGATAAGGGACACGCGGAAGACGAGGAACAACAAAGTGTCGGCCGACGTTAGCTCGGCTACATATTATTTTACACTCTAAGAGGATACGGAGGGAGAGATGATGTAACTACGTAAAGAAGCGACGAGAGAGGAAAGGGAAGGCGGCAGGTGTAGTGAGCACTCGATAAACATCTTCCGGAGATGAGGACAATCTTCACTTGTCTTCGCCCTCGCCCTCCTCCTCCTCGTCGAACTCGCCCTCCTCCTCGGCGGTCGCCTCTTGGTACTGCTGATACTCGGACACGAGATCGTTCATGTTGCTCTCGGCCTCGGTAAACTCCATGTCATCCATACCTTCGCCGGTGTACCAGTGCAGAAATGCTTTGCGACGGAACATCGCGGTGAATTGCTCCGACACTCTCTTGAACAGCTCCTGCGACGTGCATTTAATATTTTACATAATTTATTCAGTCATTTATTCTCAAGTGATAATCCAACGCGAATCGATAATACACTTTTTTTTTCTTAAATTTAAACTTTTGAAAAATTGATGGGAACTGTAAATTTAATTAGCTCGGTTGAACTCTTCTGTTTTATGCCGAACGGCAAACGAACCTGAATAGCCGTAGAATTGCCGATAAAAGTCGCGGACATTTTTAGGCCCCGCGGGGGTATGTCGCAAACGGCGGTTTTCACGTTGCTCGGTATCCACTCGACGAAGTAGCTGCTGTTCTTGTTCTGGATGTTGAGCATCTGCTCGTCGACCTCCTTCATCGACATTCTGCCGCGGAACACCGCGGCCACCGTCAGATATCTACCGTGCCGCGGGTCGCACGCGGCCATCATATTCTTCGCATCGAACATTTGCTGGGTGAGCTCCGGCACCGTGAGCGCCCGGTACTGCTGCGAGCCTCTGAAATCATATCATTTTAGAATTACGTCAAAAACTTGAAAGACGTAAAATTATACACGCGAACAGCTCTTCCCCGAATAATTAATTACATCAATCTCGTTGCGTTGCGAGCGAAACTTTTGTTTGAACGAGCCAGCAAATTAACATCGATTCTCGTGGCATCGACCAATCGGAAGTACCGACGATTTATTTATTTAACTGAATAATTCTCTCTTTAATTTTCAATTAATTTTTATTGCAAGAGATGGAGATAACGCGAACCTAGAAGTCAGGGGGCGAAGCCAGGAATGAAAAAATGCAGCCGTGGAAAGGGGACCATGTTGACGGCGAGCTTCCTCAGGTCGGCGTTGAGCTGGCCGGGGAATCTCAGGCAAGTGGTGACGCCGCTCAGGGTCGCGCTGACGAGATGATTCAGGTCGCCGTAAGTCGGCGTGGTCAGCTTGAGGGTCCGGAAGCAGATGTCGTAGAGCGCCTCGTTGTCTATGCAGTAGGACTCGTCCGTGTTCTCCACCAGCTGGTGCACCGAGAGGGTGCAGTTGTAGGGCTCGACCACGGTGTCCGATACCTTCGGGGGAAGGAAGCGGGAATAGAGATGCTGACGTGCAACGTATCCCGCTCGCGGTATCGGGCGCGCTCGCGCTCTCGCGTATCGCGCAACAACCGTTATACACAAGCGCGAGAGCACACGCATTGTACCCCGCCGGCAGCGCGCGCGCGGTATTGTCCTATTAAGGACAAAAGATCGGTTCCTGGCGGGCGCTTTGTCTCGCATCCATTGTACCTTATCCCGCGCGCATCGGAAAGACTTTCGCGTTGCGCGCGTTGCCCGCGTTGCCCGCGTTGCGAAATACGCCCCGCGGCTGATTCCCGATACACACGGAAATTCGAAACGTAGCTCTTGACGTGAGATCCGATCTCGCATTGTTCCCGAAAGTCGATAGAGATTTCGTCCGAGAATATAGAATAGCGTATCTAAATTATTTCTTCGGAAGGAGAGGAGTTATGTTTTAGTCCGCGTGAGATCGAAAGAGAGAGAGAGGAAGAAAATTTCTCGAACTTTTTTTCAGGGACGATCGTAAACGTGACGTGAAATCGAAATTCTCGAGAGGTGAGTTTACCTTTGGCGAGGGCACCACGCTGAAGGTCATCATGATCCTGTCGGGATATTCCTCGCGTATCTTGGAGATGAGCAGGGTGCCCATGCCGGCGCCGGTGCCGCCGCCCAGCGAGTGCGTGAGCTGGAATCCCTGGAGGCAGTCGCAGCTCTCGGCCTCCTTGCGGACGACGTCCAGGACGGAGTCGACGAGTTCGGCGCCCTCGGTGTAGTGGCCCTTGGCCCAATTATTGCCGGCGCCGCTCTGTCCGAATACGAAGTTGTCCGGCCGGAATATCTGGCCGAACGGTCCCGAGCGGACGGCGTCCATCGTCCCCGGCTCCAGATCGACCAGGATCGCGCGCGGCACGTATTTACCGCCTGTTGCCTCGTTGTAGTAGACATTTATCCGTTCCAGCTGCAGATCCGAATCGCCGTGGTACGTCCCCGTGGGATCGATCCCATGCTCGTCCGAAATTACCTCCCAAAACTGCGATTATTGTAATTTGGAGAACGCAACTTTTCAAGAAATTTCTCAAGAAATTCGATATCGCATCGATCAATCATTTCTGACAAGAAGATTATTTTTCGCCATTATGACTAACGTGTAATTCTGAATTGTCTTTCTTTCATCCCAATTAAATTGGAATTATATATAAGAGATCGTCCACGTACCTTGGCTCCGATCTGATTGCCGCATTGGCCGGCCTGAAGATGTACTATCTCGCGCATGTTCGCTAACTCAGCCTCGACGTCGCGGATTCTCCTCTTCGCCTCGACGTCGCGAATTCAACCGAGATCTCAAACCGAAATCTCAAAGCTCGTCGTCGTCTGTTTTCGTTACCTTGGAAATGCGACACGCACCTCCGGATTCCGGCGTGCCGGGCGATGCGAAGACGCACCAGGAGATAAAGTCGCGAGCGCAAAAGATCTCCGACGAGACTCGTAATAATTCCCGGCGAAGTCCCTAACCCTAAGAACCGTAACTCGGGTAATTTGGCTGAGTCAAACTTACGTTCCCATGGATACACGGCGAGAAGAGAGTATCTCGGTGCCGCTTCTGTTTCGGGACAATTGAATGTAACGTTGATGAACAAAAGACTCACACCGGCGTATCCGCTCGCATTGTTCGCCGGTGCGCGGGTTGTCAAAAAGAAATTAGTGCGCCTCAGTAGATTCCTAGGTCTTAACAAACGAAACCCTTGGAGAATAACTCGGGGAATTTTGATAATTCAAATATATTTAGATATATAATTCAAACGCGATGATAAATTTTGTTAAAATACTTCTCAACGAGTTTTACAATCGTCTTTATTGAAATTACATAATACAGCTTTATTAAATATTTAACTTTTCTTTTGTTGTGAGACATTTAATATCTATTGAACGTTTATATCTTCAAAGACATTTTGAGCTTCGTAAATTGAATTCCGCGTAATGCTACTTAGGCGAGGTCAAAATGAGGATCTAGATGAAGTCCGCGAAACTCTTGGTCGTGAGGGCTTTCGCTATCTCGTTAACCAGCTCCATGTACACGACAGGATTGACGTTCTGTGCAAGTTGGTGCAACAAGAACCAATCGCCAAAGTGGAATACTCGTACGACACGCTCGGCCTTAGATTTCTCGAGCCTGCGAACTGCACTTCGCAGAAGATACACCCTCGCCCAGGTTTGAGAGAAAACTACAATCCTGCGAGAAAGATCGTATCAATTACACGATCCAACGAACTTACTATTTCTAATAGATCGTTTCTATGAGATAATAATTTTTTTTTAAATACACGAAAAGAACAATTTTGCTAGCAAATAAAAAAATTTGTTCAGATACATATTTGAAAATAATTTTATTGGGTCTTAATAAAATTATTATGTACAACGTTCAAATTGGTTCAAAATTACTAAAAGATCAAATATTTTTATAACATTATTACGTTGCAAAAATTATGTTGTATTATTATCCTACAATAATTTTAATGATCCAACAAAATATTTTCAGATCTGTATCTGGCCAAATTTTTAGATTTGCCAGCAAAACTATTCTCTCTGTGTACAATGCGAAGCTTCGCATCGATTTGCCTTGCAAATAACATCAAGTGAGAAATTGCTGAAGTCAAAACACTAATGCACAAAAAATAAGTTTTGAAGATCATTTGCGACGTTTAAAATCGTTGTATTTTACGAGATCGTTGAGCAAACCTTGCGTACCTATAGATTACCGCCAGGCAACCGACGCCCGCGAGAAACACCAGCCAAAACCACAAAACGACGAAAATCTTCTCGTTCACCACGTTCAGCGGGAGCACGCATAGAGCATCGTGAGTTTGCACGGAACCTGTGGGTCCGAATGTGTGAATCGTGCACTTGGTCACCTTCGGAAACAATCGCGCCATAGGATCGATCCTGTCGTGAGGATTTTCCTCGGCGACGAATGCGGTCACCAATGGCCCATATCGCCTAAACTGCCCCTCCAGAAATATGTCCAACAGATATATCTGTCCTATCTATCGATGGAAGATTTTATCGAGAGTTTACATTAACTTCGCGCTCTCTGATTTTATTTTATTTTATTTTATTTTCTTCTCTTTTTTTTTTAATAATTAAAAGAGTAAATGCCGAGATTTAAAATGATTGCGTGAATTTGTCGATTTTTGTACTTGGAAATCGTAAAGAAAGTTAAGTGATCGTATTTTATTTATATACGTTAAGGGCCCTCGAGTTGTATTTCCGGGCGATATATCGGTTTCATTTTCGAGAAAAGTTTCGACCGCGTTTCGTTAGCCTCATTATCGAATCCAGAAATTAATTATTCAGGTTTATTTCCGCACAATTTCCCCGCTTCTGACGTCACAATCCCGGCCGGTCGATCGAGAGCCTTTAAGTACTTTCGCAAAATCTTCCGTTTTCCAAAACTAAGAAAATTATCCTTACCGAATTTAAGAAGTTCAAGAATTCACACACAAAGAAGCGCATCGCGTAGAAGTTGTGACCGTGCAGATTCGTTTTGGTGAAATACTCGACGAGCTGCTGCTTCCTCTCCTCGGTCCAGACATCTCTCAGAAAGGGGGACGCGAGATCTCGCGAAAGAAGGCCTATGGTGCCTCTCTCCCAAATGCCCCATAACGCGCGCGGCACGTAAAAAAGGATGGCTTGTAAGCCGAGAACGAAGCAGACCTGTCGAACATTAAATTTTTTATTTCTTACTCCCGAGTTTTTCCTTAAGTTACACTTTATCTCAGAACAGACGCGAACTTTCAACGGACGCTAAAAAGTTTTGTCGCACACCTCCCCGTGTATTCTATTTTCTGGAAAAAGGCTGGAGAAATATATATTTATGTTTGACTTAATATTTTTCTATTCGGAAGGATCGAAGGATCTCACGGGAAATTCCTCCCTACATTTTCCTACCCGCGCGTTAACCGCCGCGATGCGAATCGCGTGATATAGAAACGACGTACGGATAACAGATCTCTCGGAGAGATCTTTGCGATCTCTATTTCCATTTCCTCGCGCCGTCTTCCGTCCTTTCCGGACGTTTTCCTTTACATTCACGCGCTCGCGTTTCAGATTTCATTCACGCTCGCGCAATACGTCTGCATGCGCCGGTGAGCCGAGAGAGCGACCTGACCATCGGAACGAAGTGCAGCCGTTATCATGCATCTCGCGTACGTGAGCGCGATAGTAGGTGTGTGCATTCCATACGGAAACTTATGCGATATCGACCAATTCCGTCGCGCGTCCCGGACGCGTTCGCCCCGCCGCATTTCTCTCCCTCGTTCGCTTCCAATTTTTCAGAGCGCCCCATCGAAAAACAATTTAGGGATGTCTTTGACGAATTTCAAATCGGTCTTCTCCCTCTGCCCCGCCCCGGCGAGAATTTCACTTCGAGAACTTTTAACGGAAGTGGAAGTCTTTCGTGAGAAATTTTATATCGAGCGTAAAGATACTTGAGCCTTTGGCCTTGAAAGTTACAAGTAGATAAAGAAACTTTTGGCTCTCGAGTTGAATTTCGGACGGCTTGATTTAACCGAAAATTTTATTCCAGACTCGCGCGGTCAAATGTAATTCATAAAAAGATTTCATAACGGGAATATTTAAATCGCGGACCGTATGCGGTTTTAATACTGATAATTTAGAATCGAGATATCGCGCACATCCTTCCATATATCTGTCATATATAATTTAACAAATGTATTTTCTGCGTCTTCCATTAATAGAATATTCATCGGCTATTTGTCACATTTGTCCATCGATTATCCGCTCATCCATATACATAAACGTTTCTAAATTCTGACCCATTGGTAATATCGATGATGACGGGCCTCGTCATCCGGAAGGGCCTGTCCTACGCCAGCACTCGCTACACTTCGTCCAGGAATGCCCTTCAGGTGTCGGGATACCGTGAACGTGCTGTAGATCCAGCAATACGCGTTTACGGGATCTTTGTCTGTCAGCAAGATATCAATTGTAACCTGTTATTAAATAATAAACGACTCTCTTGCGATAATCGAGTACAGTTGGAAACGAGACGCGCGAAGGAAAAATGTTGAAACGCAATTTATTATTTATCTTTCATTCTTTACTTCTGCGGACGCTAGTTCAGGGGCTAAAAGGTTATCGGGATATCCGTACCGATGGAAGCATCGGTCATGCAAGAAATTGGTTCGCCGATGTACTGCTTGGCAGTTACGAGGATCGTGCAAACGAGGAGTAGGAGGACGGTGACGCGTGAGTGCAGCCTGAAGACGACGTTGTCGACACGAACGGATTCCTCCTGCAGGAGGCATTTAATAGGTGCGAAGAGGTCCAGCATGATTATCGCGTGCTCTTTTGTCTCCGACATCGAAACAAAGCACAATAGAGAAAAATTCCAGAGCGCATTGAGCGCATTGCGAAAGGAAGCGCGCTGTCACGCGGAGTCGCGTTCTAAATTCGTCAAAGAATTCGTCGCTGGAACGCGTTCTTTTTTTCTATACATGCATTCGATCGATTCGAGCGAGAGTATAGAAAACGTGGATGAAATGAAATATAATTATCAAATATGCGTCACGGGGGAATTTCGCAAGGCGAAAAGACCGCCGTGAGTCACCGGTGTTACGCCGAAATTACGAGCGACGTGCTAAAGCGACGGGCGAGAAATTATCGTCATGTAAATCATCGGCGAGAGTGGCGGCGCCCGAAACTGCATTCGCCTAATTGGTCCGCACTTAAAGCTGCGAGCGGACTCGTAAATCTTGAACGATCTCTCCCTGTAATTTTTGCCTCCCGGCGCGCGACGGTCCTTCTCGTTTTTAATTTATCACTCCGCGCCGAGTCTCTCCGGATCTCAAGATCTGAGATTTGCCGTGGGAGGAAGGGGAGGGGGGGGGAGGAGATCTTAGCCCTTTATAAAAGTGCACATAAAGAAAGCCATCTCTTTCCTCGACTCCAAGGATGCTCTTTATTAGTAAAAAATATAGTAATCATGATAATTGTTATTATCCCAATTACATGTCGTAGTAAGATAATCGTTATACCGTCGATTAAAGATAGCTGCGCTCGTTAATAATGCGCTTAATACCGCATCGCTCGGTCGTGTGTGCGTGTATGTGAATCCGTGTGAGTGTGTACGTGTATGTATTGTGTGTGTGTTTGTGTGTATGTGTGTGTGTGTGTGTGTGTGTGTGTGTGTGTATCCGCTATTGAAATTGTCGCTAAACCTACATAAATGTTTCCCTATATACAAACAAACACGATCCTAGAATGCCGGCAGCCCCGGAGGCGGCGGGCCAAGTTTCCGAGTCTGTTTCTTGTTCTAATTATAACAGCCCTCCTGAAGGAGGGCCAACCAACGGAGTATCGGATTAACAGGATCCCTTATCGCTGCGATAGCCGGCGACGGTTAGCTCGCCGAGACACCTTACTTACTCTCGTTTATTTGTTTATTTAATAATTATCTCTCTCTCTCTCTTTCTCTCTCTCCCCTAGCGTTATCGGTTAATTCCTAAAAAGCGACCGCGGTTTTTACAAACCTCCTCCTAATCCTCGCCTTATTATATACAAACTGTTTGCACTGTCGACGATCACATGCATCATAATAGCTGCATATTTTAGTAGGCACGCTCATTCGGTGTCATAGAGTCCAGACATCTTGCGAATCGGCGAATCTCACAACACTTTTCTCGTTTCCTCTCTCCTTCCTTCTTCCTCTAAGTGTAGACACTAGAGCGATTATATACCTCACAACGGATTCAATATATGTATGTATGTATATTATATATATTATATTCGATACAGTCGCCGAACCTCAAGATGTTAAATCGACAAGGCGTGTCACGACCCGTCAGAAACCACAATTACTGGATGTATCGATTTCCGTCGTTCCCGCCAATCCCGCCGTATTTTAAGTCAATTTAATTGTATCTTGCTCGCGACGAGTTTCCTTCGAGAGTTCACGGGGCAGGACAACTTTGAGCAACCGCTAAGGACTATATCTCGAAGTCGGAATCTACGACGATTGGCTCGTCAATTTGCATCTGTACGAGCGACAAAGGAAATGAGGATCCACCGTACCTTCGACGATTTTCTAGAGATAGCAATGCCTCCCGACAAACGAATCATAAATACATCATAAAATATATATAATACGACATAACATATACGATGACTAATTAATTATAAAATATTTAATAACTCATAATATAGAACATTTCATTATTTTATATATATAATTATCCTAAATATCGAAAAACAATAATACTCGTTTGAAACTTAATCTAACTTAATCTATCTTTTCCTCTTTTCTGACATTTCGAATTCATTATTGTCGGACTTCGATGCTGAGTGTCCACAAGGTTCTATAATTAGATGGAGATAACGAGATAATAATACAGAAATGCTTCCCAGCGTGTCGCTGAAGCTATCTAGTAGATGTCTTGCTGTCGCTAGAAATGAAATCGCCGCCCGTATAATCAGCGGCGGAAATAACTTGATCGCCACGTATTTACGATCTTTCTCGCGAACAACATATGAGAACGATCGAGATGAGGATCTATGAAGACTTCTATGTCTATGGCAGTGTGTGTGTGTGTGTGTGTATAGAAGACGCGATAGCAATACGAGTACAACGCGGCAGTGGCAAATATAGTTTCGAGAACTTCATCATCGCTATGAGGGAAGAATGATGGACCGATGCATTCCGTGAGAATATAAATAGAAAGGACGAACGTGGGATGGGCGATCGGCGTTGACAGACAGTAGTAGTACGTGAACACCGCGATAGAATAGTAAGGAGCCAACCTTTCGTAATTAGTGAGCAAACTCGACGTTCATTAAACCCGGAAGCATCACATGGAGAATACTTGTAAGCGCGATGTCGGATCTGTCGCTTGGAGCAGCATGAAAAAACACTTCTTCCATCTCTCGACGAGTACTTCTGATCGTCTCTCTCTGTCGTTCCCCCCAAACAACACAGAAGTCTGGAGATCGATTGCGTCAACGATCCCGACGGGTTAAATAAGCTTGCTTTGGCGGATTCGCTCTACTCCTCTCTTAATTATAATCTTACCTATGATATAGTTAGAGAAAGGAAATTTATTTAACCGAAATTAGCGACGGGCGACGTTGACGCAGCCGGCTCGAGGACGTTCTGAGTGACGTTTCAAGAAATTAATAGCCGCCATACAGACGTCTCCGTCGTTGGACTCGAAGTCGTCCCTCCAGGAATACAAATTTTTTTTTGTTTAAATATCTACGCGGACACATACAAGCGTACGGATACAAGGAGAGAATCTTGATTCCTCGGAGAACGGCTGCGAGTTCGCTTCTGTGTTTTTCGGGGGTCGCGTGCAGGTACCCACAGAGGCACGACCGCGTCCCCTAGTAGGGCACGTGTATGTCCCTGGAGCGCGATCGTCTTCTGCAAAGTCTGCACATGGCGATGAAACACGCTAGACCCAGGAGAATGGCGAGACCGGCGCCCAGGCCGGCGCCGGCCCAGCCGGCGGGCCCGACGAAACCGCCGCCGTTACCGTTAACGGGACCGCCGCACGTCTCCACGGACTCGTCGTCCGGCTCGTAGAAGGTGCCGTTCAGGATACCGGGCAGGGGCAAGCCGCGACTGGGGCAGTTCACCACGCCGTTACACACCAATCTCGCCGGGATGCAGCCCGTGTCGCCGGGACATTGGAAACCGCAGTCCTCCAACTTGCCGGTGTTGAGCGCCCCGGATCCGTCCCTCGGTAGATGGAAGAGCTCGGTCCAGGCGATCTTGAAGGCCGCCCTGGCCGGCGCCATCGATCCGGTGAACTGAATGATCACGGCGGGCACCTCCTCGCTGACGATATCGCCGATCACACCCGGCGCCGGATGATCGACCGGCGGCGTGATGTGCGCCGCCGAGATGATCGGCATCTCCCTCACGTAGCTGACATTCTCGCCGCAGATGCCGAGATACGGGTCGGCATTGCCCGGCAGGAAGATCTCGAGCTTGCCGTCCTCGCAGGAGCGCGACGCGAACTTGATCTTATCAAAGTGCAGCCAGAGATCGCGCTCGCGATTCACCCGCAGCTCCCAGATGCACTTGATAGTTCTTGGCGGCGTGACGTATCCCAGCGCCTCGTAATGCGGAAACTCGATCTCACCGTCGGTGGCGGCCGGCAGAAGCGCCGGCCCGCACAAGGGACTGTGCGCGAACTCGTATCTCGCCTCGAAGAGCGGCGCGGGCCACTTGAAGTAGCTCGAGGCCGCGTGCGCGCCGTCCACCAGCAACTTCAGATCCAACCTTTCGCCCCGAGAGACGACCCTGAGGACGGGCAGCCGCGACACCGTCGTTGGCGAGCTCGTGGCGCTGGACGGTGGAATGCCGTTGTTGTTGGACCGGCAGAGACAGTGGCCCTTGATACCATCCGGACTGGGTTCTCGGATGATCACTCGATCCACTCGGCTGTCCCAGCAGTGGCCGCACTGAGCGTACGGATGCTCCTTGAAGTTGATCGACTCCACCACCAGGATCACGCGCGCGAAGAGTCGCTTGTCCGTGATGAAGCTGTAGGTGCAAGACAGATCGGCGGGCGGATCGTTGGGTCGCTTGTAAACTAGAGTGTTGAGCGGCGAGCGCAGCCGGCCCGAGCGCGTCTTCCACGAGGCGAAGACCTCGTCACATTCGGTACCGGGTGTGGGCTCGCCGAACCTCGTCGCGTTGAAGAAGTCGTAGTGGGCCCAGTAGTAGAGCGAGCTGCCGGAGTAACTGCCGGTCTTACTCTCGAATCGCACGAACAGCGCGTTCGACGTCGACACGAAGTCGTGCTTCTCCATCGGCTTGCTAAACGTGTCGCAGAAGGTTTTGATAATCCGCGCGTCGTCCGGCCAGTCGGCGTCGTAGAGCGTCAGACTCTCGCCGCAGTCGCCTTCGTACGGTTGGATGGGCGACTCGATACGATTCACTCGAAAGCTGGGGAAGTAGAGACGCGCGATCTCGCCCGGTCGGCCGCGCAATAAATACGTGCAGCTAGTGTGCGGCGGGTACCAGTGCGCGACCGACAGGAAGATACCCTCGTTGCCGCTCACGAGAGACTCGCTGTTCAGCAGCCAGTCACAGCTGCCGTTCTTCACGCCGGCGGTCTCCACGTGGCCGGGCCAATTTCCCACGTTGAAGTGAAAGCCCGTATTGAGCAACGGGCCGGCCGGCGACGACACGAACTCCACGTAAAGATCCTCGCTGGTGCCGATGATGCTGTACGGGAACTTGCCCATACCGCAGAACGTGCCGATCACTGGGCTGCTCTCGTTCTTGCCGTCGTACACGCGTATGTAATCGTACGGGCAGTGCTCCGAGCCGGAGCTGATCGGCCGCATCGGGCACGTCATGATGTTCTCGCATCGCTGACCGTCGATATTGAACTCCTCGTTCTCGATGTAGAGTTTGATGAATGGTAGCCGGGTGTTCAGGCGATACTTGCAGTGCAACGCGCGCGGATAGATACCCGGGTAAGCCGGGCTCTGCACGTAGCACGTCTGCAATCGGCAGTCCTTGAAAACGCGCTCGCAGTAGCTACCGGGCACGACCTCACCGCGCCGATTCGGATAGAGCTCCGGGTGCTGGCCGTATCTGAGGTAGACCTCGAACTGCGGCTCGGCGCGCGAATCGAAGCTGAAGTACGTCTGATCGGTGAAGTTGTCCGCGTGAAAGAGCACTCGCACGAAGCTGGTCTCGCTGATGAAGGTCTGCGGCTGCTCGGACTCGCCGCAATAGACGCCCGGGTCTTTGCGATTGCTCACCTCGGTCTTCGTATTGCCGTCTACAATCTGGAACAACGGCGGGAAACGCGCGTTGATTGTACAACGTTTGGGAAGATAAAAGTACCAATTAAAAATACCAAATTGAGAATCGAGAAATTTCATTCAGTTTAACGATTAATATGTCCTTTATGAGAGAACAACGTTTTCATGTGTAAAATATAATGACAAATGATAATCCCTTAAGTATCTCTAAAAATTATAAATGTTCCCCCCCCCCCGTGAAACCGTGAAACTTAATTATATTTAATCTATAATTAAAGTTCTTTATATATCTTTCTTTATATATCATATAATGAATATAAAACACTCTGTTGCGATCTTCTATGTTTATGAGTTTATAAAAAGTAAATAAACTAAAAATAATTAATGGATATTTATATAGGAAATAATTGTTCTGTAAAGATGCGTGGGATTGTTAGGAATTTGTCTAGGAGGAGTCTGCAAATTTGCACAAATACGATAAGGTACTTATGTACGGAGGAAATAGTTATTCAAACGGAAAATAATAGTTCAGCAAAGATACAGCGGTTTCCGCCACGCGTGCCGCGTCTCGAATCTCACGATCTCGTGCACAGGGAAATGTACCCGAAGTGACTACTATTGACTTTTCATTCTTTTTTATGGGTGTAAATTTGAAAGTCGCGAGGAAACCGAGGGAAAATACGGGGGAGAATAGAGAGCATGAAGAGCGGAGAGGTAAAAGTAGAGAGAGATAAAGAGATAGAGGCGAGAGAGAGAGAGAGAGAGAGAGAGAGAGAGAGAGAGAGAGAGAGAGAGAGAGAGAGAGAGAGAGAGAGAGAGAGAGAGGAGAGGAGAAGAGAGAAAGGAGAGGAGAAGAGAGAGGTTTACAGCGTCACAAAGATCAATACCTGATACCGAAGTAACTGAGAGAGGTGGCAGCAGGACGAGTGCGCCCGCGCGCGTTTGCTCGCTCGCTCGTTCGCTCGTTCGCCCGCTCGCTTGAAAGAGGCACAGGCGGAGGGAAACGGAGAGGAAAAAAAAGAGAGAATCACTTATCGTCTCTCTTATACGGGAGTTATAACGCTCTAATTCGCGACATTGATACGGCTGCACTCGTCCCTCTGTGTACAACCCCGTCGGAACTAAATCTAATAGTACACCCGTCACCGATAATTCGCTATTATCGCGAGACCAAATCGTTCTACTCCGATAACGCTCACAATGCGAGTAGCTTCGCGAATTATTATTTCGTCCGCGGCGCAATTCGTCACGAGGCATTACGACGCTTAGCCCCGAAATACGAGATTTCGAATGAATGCGCGAGAATCCCTCTTAAGTCGCAGATTTTCGGCACTGGAATTTAATAATATAGATATGATTCGATCAGTTTAGTAAATCAGGTAGTTCGATAGCCTCTTGTCGAGATAATAGGTATCACGCTCAGATATTGTTTCTTTCCGCTTCGCCGTGAGAGATTTTTCAACAATACGGAGTACGTCTGGTTCACCTAGGCGTAAAATAGACTCTGAACGCGCACGAAGCGAGACGAATCCGATAATGATATACCCGGCGCGGTTTGCATCCGGCATAACTACGTGTTTTTTGTTTCCCCCTCCCCTTCCCCTCCGTAAAACGCGCAGCTTACAAATACGCGCATTCCTGTCGTTCTATGCGGGTTCACAACTGCACCCCACATGCGTCGGTCCGCGACGAGATTCAAAGAGATACGCGAATATCATCGGCACCCCTCCGTCGTCCTCTCCGCTCCCCTCTGCCCTCCTCCCCCTCGGTTTTCTCTCCCTCGAGCGTCAATATTCAACTCGAATCGAAAGAATAATCGAGGAACGCTATTGTCGAACCGAAATTAAATTCCAGCGCCCGATTAATTGGTCGGATTTTCCCTATTCAATTAATAGGAGAGCGAAGCGGGTGGGGGAGAAGGGGCGGCGAGATGGATTCGACTGTGCCGCTTGGATCCTGGAATTAGGACCGTTGTGTCTCTCGTACGTCTCCTTTCTCTTCCGACAAAGACGAAGTTCACCCTCACGAAGGGCTCACCTGCAGATAACCGCCGCTGCAGGTGGTGGCGTTCTCCAACACTCCGACCTTAAACTTCTTGAAGCGCACCCGTAGAATCCAGTCCCGGGGCGTTCCGCGAAAGGCACGGAAACGGTACCAGCACGAGAGGGGCTTACCCCAATTATCTGGGGTCACCGCCGGGCTCGACACATCTTCGTAAATGTCCACTGTCTTGTTGCAGTGGCCTCGGTCCGCTGAAAAAGAATCGATTAGAACGAAAAGGGGGGAAGGGACACCCGTCCAGGACACCCTCTTCCTTCATCTCGTTTGCATCCTTAATTACTTCAATATTAATTACGCCAGTAACATGTAATTTCTACGGTAAATAAATAATATTATAGTAATAAGTGAGTTTTACTGGTTACGCTAATCTAATCTTATTAATTATCGCATAAAAAAGTACGTAATTACGGTATGTAGGATATCGGAGAATATTCTCAGAGTTGGTGAAATTCAACTTCCAGAGAGCGGAACATAGTTTTTTTTAATTAATTTAGAGTAGACTTCGCTTTAACGGAAAATTGAGAAGCCGCGGTTAAATGACGGACGCCATCGCGCGATGTTCCCGCTAAGAAAATATTGATTTCGAAAAACCGCGTCAGTCGAGGAATCTATTATTAAATCTCGTAGAGCGAAAATATGGAACGTCCCGTACACTGGCCGTATTAGAACAGCGGTATTTTTCATTGACCCGGTTAGGCAACGGAGGGGAACGACGAAGGAACGGGACACGCGGAACCGATGGGGGTGTGAGGAGAACGGTGGAGGGTAAGGAACGTGCGACAACACGCGACACAAGTTTCGGCCATGTAATCGATATTCGACCCGCTTGCCAGATACCTCTTATAAAACGGCAGCTTCGTATTATGGCCGGACCGCTTCTCGTTCGTAAATCACCTTTCCACGAGGTATCAAAACCTCCCCTCGGCTCGCGCTCACCGGGGCAAGTAAATCTCTTTAATGCGACGGTTAAGATTCGAGGCCGCGCGCGTCGTGGCTGTTACACCGATAACTCGGTCTGTTAGCCGCGTAACGGGGTTGCGATAATTGCCAGCGGCTTCCGGGGTAAGTACCTCCCCAGGATGAGTCTTCATTAAATCCCGCGCCTCATCGGATTCGAGCGCAGATCGGAGAAAGAGTCGGAGGAGGTTTCAGGGAAAAGAGAGAGAGGGATTGGTATCTTATCCGTCTTGAAACATAACGACATTTTATCCGTTGAATTAAATTGAAAATTGACAATTGCGTCACTATATTAAATATTAAAGAGACGTGGAGTCGAAACAATCGCGACGAATAATCACGACGCTGGAAAAAACGTTTCTTCATTTCGCTATCGCTTTTTTTTCTCTCTCTTTCTCTCTCTCTCTCT